TATTTGATATATATAAACACATATATTGGATATATATTTGATAAATGTATTCTGGCAACATGTACTGTTTCCTTAGTCCCCTCATCTCTCCCTCCCTCGAAGGGGATAAGAGTGCCTGCCCGTGGGGTCGTGAGGATTACAGGTGAATATATGGAAGTGTTTCTCACCGAGCAAAGACTTTTGCCAGTCACATCCTCCTTTTGGAAAAAATGTCTCCACCTATCCTAACGGCTTGGCTGTCCCCTGCGAACTCTGGTGTTGGGGTTGTGGCCGGTGGTGGCAGCGGGCAGGGGAGACCAGGAACTCTTTGGAGGGACCCAGTAACCCATGGCAGGTGTGTCTCTGGGAATTCTACCCGCTCTGTCCCTTTCGCCCAGTGACCACCCATCCACATGCAGCAAGAAGGCACTGAGCGCTGGCACTGTGCTCTCCACCCAAGCCCGTGGCCCTTCAGCTCATTCCGTCTGGAATTCTGTCCCCCACCTGCCGCTCATCACCTGCTCACCTGGCTCCTGGCTCCAATAATGTCCCACCTCTTAAAATCAGTGGCTGCTTCACCATGAACTTCCCAGGGCTCTCCCAGACCTCCGCCTCTGGACTCTTCCTTTGGTTAAAAACTGATAAGAAAGCAGCCTGACCCAGCCTCCCAGCTGCACCCCGGGAAGGTGCAGTCTCACCTGCTCCTCTCTGGAGTTGATGACCACCAGGTGCGCGCTCTCCAGTTGGCAGTACCTGTCCGCGTCCTCCCAGGTCTTCCCGGAGCGGGAGAACCAGTAGCAGCTGCCGTCGTACTCCAGCCAGTTAGCGGGACAGCACTGTGTGCCTGCGGGGGCGGGGGCGGGGGCCCGGGGAGGTGAGAGCCCGCCGGCAGGTGCAGGCGCAGGCGCACTGGGCGGGAGGCCCCTCTGTCCCTACCATTGCTCTGGAAGAAGGCCATCTGACAAGTCAGGATGCGCAGGTCCATGGGGAAGTGCTTCAGATGCAGGAGCAAGGCGTCGTGATCTAGGGCGTGGCATGGGGGGCGGGATGTGGGCGGTGGGGGCGCCCACCTGCCGGGACCCCCCACGGCGCGCCAGCCTCGGGACTGGGGACACGCAACACGCACACACTCAAGGTCGGGGGGTCTCTGACCTGCTTTCAGATCCCTCTGCTGTTTCTCCAGCTTGGCTTCCAGAGAGGTCAGCTGGTGACTGGCACTGCGCCCTGAGAAAGAGGAAGGCTCACCAGTCTCCCTCCCTTCTGCCTCCTTAACGGCCCTCCATCCGCGCCCACTCGAGCCTCCCTGACTCCACCCCGTCCCCACAGTGGCTTGCTAAGGCACACACCTGCGCCGGCCGCTCTCCTGCTTCAACCCCCTCAGCAGGTCCCCATGTTCTCAGAACAGGGCCTCTCTTCGTTAGCACGAGGTCCCTGCCTGCGGGACCGGCCCCTAACCGCCTCTCTGCCCAGCCCTCGCCACTTCGCCCCTGCCACACTGCAAAGGGTCACATGGGAATGGACGGCAGTCTTCCTCACCTCCTGGCTTTGCAGATTCTGTTCCCTCTACCTGGCACGAACCCCCATCGTCTTCACCTGCCTGTTCATCCTTCAGGCTCCCTCGGCCCAGGGATCAGCGTCCCTGGACGCCCTGCCCAGCTTCTCGGGCTGGGTGTCCTACCCCCAGCACCCCAAACACGCCCCTCCTGCAGACGGGGCACCGGGCATCCAGCGCGGATAAGCCGCAGCCCCTGCCTCACCGGAGCCTCCACGCACCATGGGAGAAGAGAGTGCCGATCTCCGACAGGACGCCGTTGGAGAAGTGGCTGAAGTTTTCCTTTAGGATCCGCAGCTCCTCTTGCAGCTGTGCCCCTTGCCAGGAGACAGAGGGAACAGGACAAAGTGGGGAGGGCTGTGTCCGGCCTCACAGCCCCAGCCTGTCCACGTCCCCGCCCCCTCCCGGCCCCATCACCGCCCCACGGCTGTCCCAGCGCTGCTCCTTACTGCCCTCTCGCTGCGCTCCCCGAGCTCTCGTGGCCCCCGGCTCGGCGCCCCCCTCCCGGCTGGCCCCTGCGACCCTCACTTTGGGACCCAATCACGCAGATGGCCGCCAGCAGCAGGACGTTGAAGCCCAGGACGAGCAGACTGAGGCGCAAGGTGGAGCAGAAGCGCTGCAGCGGAAGGGGCGACTGCGTGGGGGTCCCTGCCGGAGAAGAAGGGGTATCAGAAGGAGGGGCCTGGGGAGGGGGAACCCAGAGAGTGGACATATGGGAGACCCCCGGGGGAACAGAAGTCTGAGGAGGCACATTCCCCGGCTGGGTGGGAGGGAAGTAGATGGGGGCTGGTTGTGCAGGGAGTCACTGGGCTTTGACCCCAGGGGCCAGACATTGCACACGCGCGCATTTGCACACTCGCCGCCCCATGAACACAGGCAGATACGCACACACACCAACACAGGTAAGTGCAACACAAAGCACAGGGCCCACGATAGTTCACATCATCTGTGCGCAAAGCCCCGCTCTCGGACCTGGGGTACTGGGGTCCAGGCCCTGTGTCCTTCTCACAGTCCATGCCTGGGCCGCTCAGACAAGTCGCAAACCACAACAACAGACCCCTCATTCCTTACTGCGGGTCATTCCGCCGCAGACGGCTCCCTGGGGTCTGCCCTCCCAGCCCCCGTCCTTCTCCTCTGGCATTTCCCTCTGCCCTGGGGCCCCCAGAACCCCTTGCTCCACCACCAACTCTCCCCTCTAGCTTCAGCAGAACCTCACAGAAACCTCTCCCTGCCCTTGGCCAGACTGAACCCCAACCCCCCCATGTGTGCACACTCCTCTCATTTCACTGTCCCGCTCAGAGCTGTGCACACACTCACTGAGGCACATGTTCACATGTCTCCTCACACGTGTACACACAGACACACACGATCTCACACACTCACAAACACACCCCCCGCTTTTGCACCGTCCACCTGCTGCAAACAAGATGCTTCCTCTTTGGCTCAGACCCCACCTTCCTGTCTGCTCGCTGCCATGACACCAGGCACCTCTGCGTCCTGGGGTGGTCAGGCAGGGGCCCAGAGTCTTCCTCCCAAGTTCACCTCCTGTCACCATCCTGAAGTGGACACTCCCTGTGAGTGACCACCCAGAACTCTTGAAATCCTCACACCAATGACTGTCACCTTCCCCCCCTTCAGACACACTCAGAACCCCATGTTGACTCAGAGAGGCCATGTCTCTGACCTCCACTGCCCGCTCCCCCTCTCTGAGCACAGCCTCCCCTCCGCACACCCTTCCCCTCCCACCCTCCCCATCCTCTGGGCATCTCTCCATCCAGAAGCCCTCCCTGACCACGGTCTTCCCCACCCAGCCAGGACCCCGTGGCTGAGTCTGACTGTTCTCTCAAACCCTGTCCACTGCCCTTGTCCTGCTTCCCAACCTGACCCATGATCCAGAAACCCCAGTTCTGGGCTAGCTCGGCGATCTATGCCCACACCTCCACTCTGAAGTCGGACCGCCTGTGGCTGAGTCCAGCTGTGCCACCAGCTAGCTCTGAGATCACGCGCAAGTCACTCGACCACTTGGTGCCTCAAATTTTCTCATGTCCACTTCTAGTATCTAAAATAGCCAGACTCACAGACATCAAGAGTAGAAGGGTGGTTGCCAGGGTCTGGGTAAACGGGAGTTGCTGTTCAATGGGTGTAAAGTTTTGGTTATGCAAGACGAGTAAGTTCCAGACATCTGTGGTATATCCTTACACCTGCACTGATGTGTGCTATGGTGCAGAACTCATATTGAGTATTCTTATCGCCACTTTTAAAAATGGGGGTAAGAAGAGCAGCGACCTGATTGGACTGTTCTGAGAACAAAATGAGGTAAAACATAAAAAGCACTGCCCAGGCAAGTTTGAAGGTAAAAGGGTCTGCCAGACATGGAAAGATGGGGGCTAGATTCCCCCTCCCTGCCAGAAACAACCAAAACAAAAAAAAACAGGCAAGTATGAGAAGCCACCTTTTCCAAGACACCTGAACCTCAGGCAACAAAGGGCAAGGATCCCTGAGAGACGGGAACAACAAGATGAGCCCAGTGGTTCCCCAGCTGCTGCTAGGGGAAAGTTTCAGCTGGGCAGCAGGGAGGGAAATCCAAGCAGAGCCCAGCAGACTCCCTGAGGTGTTGGGGATGACCAAGGTGGCAGAGGTCACAGAACAAGGTATCAAAGAGGAGAGAGCTGCCCACAGAATCCTGGAGGTCTGCAGAGGCTTCCCTCAAGCAACCTGCTGAGCACTGATCAACATGTGCATGTCAGGAAAACTACCCCAGGTCAGGACAAAACCAACCCAAAAGGGCTGGGGAACAGTGCCTCGCACTTATACAGGTCCAGGAACGGTGCTTCAGGGGTGCTCCAGACCCACCTAACAATCGTAAAAGCAGGGACACCTGGCTGGCTCAGTCGGAAGGGCATGCAAATCTTGATCTCAGGGTGATGAGTTCAAGCCCCAAGTTGGGTGTAGAGATTACTAAAAAAGTTAAATAAACTTAAAAAAAAATAACAGATTTTCTAAAAAAAAAAAAAATAGTCATAAAAGCAAAACCCAAAAGGATCAAATTGACTCTACATTGCTTAACCACACCCCAGAACAAAGCTCAAGAATATTTAGAGGAATACAAATATATCCAGCACACGACATGGTAAAATTCACAATGTCTAGCCCACAATCGAAGATTACCAGGCATACAGAGAGACAGGAAAACACAACTCGTAATGAGGAGGTTAATAAATGTATCAAAACTGGGGCGCCTGGGTGGCTCAGTCGTTAAGCGTCTGCCTTCGGCTCGGGTCATGATCCCAGGGTCCTGGGGTCGAGCCCCGCATCGGGCTCCCTGCTCGGCGGGAAGCCTGCTTCTCCCTCTCCTGCTCCCCCTGCTTGTGTTCCCTCTCTCGCTGTCTCTCTCTGTCAAATAAATAAATAAAATCTTTAAAAATAATAATAATAAATGTATCAAAACTGACCCAGAATGGACACAGGGGTTAGAATTAGCAGACACAGGACATTACAACATATATTGTAACTGTATTCTGTTCAAAAACATAAGTACAAGGGGCGCCTGGGTGGCTCAGTTGGTTAAGCGACTGCCTTCGGCTCAGGTCATGATCCTGCGGTCTTGGGATCAAGTCCCGCATCGGGCTCCCTGTTCGGCAGGGAGTCTGCTTCTCCCTCTGACCATAACCGCTCTCATGTGCTCTCTCTCTCATTCTCTTTCTCTCTCAAATAAATAAATAAAATCTTTAAAAAAAAAAAAAAAAAAAACATAAGTACAAGTCAAGGAAGATACTTAAAAGTCCCGGGTTGAACTCCTAGGCATGAAACTACAATGCCTGAAATGGAAAATCCACTGGGTAGAATTAGTGGAAGATGAGACTTCAGTAAAGATTAGTGAACTTGGAGACACAGCAATAATAACTATATAAAAAGAAACACTGAAAGAGAAAAGAATTAAAAAAAACAACAGGGAGAGCATCAGTGAGCTGTGGGGCCATGAATACATGCATAATTACAGTCCTTGAAGGAGAAAGGAGCAGGGAGGGGGGCAGGAAAAGGGGTTTTGAGGAAACAGTGGTTGAAACATTGCCAAGCTGGCGGAAAACTGTAGGCTTCTAGAATGCTGGGAAAGGCAGAAGCCTGTCCTGGAAAAGCAGGTGCTGTCCATCAGGTCTTTTGGGGTGAGCTCCCTCCTCTGTGAAATCCAAAACCTCTCAACTCTGTCCAAGCCTCCTGCTTAAACTGAATCCTCTCACCCTCAGAGGATCCGACAATATCCAAAATCATCCCGAGTGTTCACTTCATACCCGGCATCACATGGGCACTGAGGACGCACAGGGTGTGATTCATGTCGCCCCGACCACCCCCCGCTCACCACCCGGGAAGGGAGAAGCCGTGGGTGGGGACGCCTGTCCCTCCTGCTGCCCTTGCCCTGCTCAGCTCCCACCCTCCCGCTGTCTGCCAGCCTCGGGAATGAGGGCCCCCCTCCCAGCCCAGGCTAACCAACCCCCTCCCTGAGCTCCTGTCTCCATGGAGCCTCGCTCCATCACGAGACCCCCTCCCCGGCTCCTGGCTCCTGCCCTTCAGCTCAGATCTCTCTCGCCTGAAAACAGTTCCCAGACACTTGAGTCTTCCTTCAGGAGTTGCTAGAGAAAGATCTAGGCAGGGCGCTTAGGGGAGTGGGGGTCTCCCGGGATCTCTCTGTGCCCATCTCCCATCCCCCAACCCTCCCACATACACACCCTCCTGCTGCATGTGCTTCCCTTGCACACACACGTGCACGCGCACCCTGCTCAGGTTGGGAGGAAGGGGGACAAAGTCATCTCCAGCTTTGAGTTATTCCCTCGCCCTCAGGGGCCCCGGGGGGAGGGGCGGGTAGCGAGCAAGGTGAGGTCAGGGGCAAGCAGAGGAGACGGGCGTCCTACACCCAGAGAAGCCCTGTCCCTGGTCTCGGGTGAATGTGACCTCAGCGAGACAGAGAGCCACCAGCAGCTAGACGGAGGGGGAGTGAAGCCCCAGAAACCGGACACTCACCTACGCAGAACCTGTCTCCTCTCCTGGGGTTGTGCCCACGAGGGCCCGGGCCCTCACCTCCACCCAGTGGGTGGTCATTGTCCTCGGAGTCCAGCTGCTGGATGTCTTGAAAGTCCTTGGCCATGCCGGGTCCAGGGCTGGAGCTGGGTTGGGCTGAGGTTCCCCTTAGGGCTGGGGCTGAGCTCGGGGCTAAGGCTTGTGCTAAGATGCTACTTTGGGCAGAGGCTGATGATGGGGTTGGATGTAGGGTGGGAGCAGGTTGGGTTGGGTCTAAGGTTGGAGGTGAGTGTGGGGCGGAAATACAGCTGGGTCCTGTCCCTTCTCAGGAGACTGCTCGGGCCTTGACTTGGCCAGGAGCCCTCCTTCCACACTCATGGACCAAACCACCCCCCATCCATCTGGCCCCCGCTGTCCCTGAACAAGGGTCTCCTCAATACCGAATATCCCCAGTCCCACCTGCCTCCCCCACCTCGGTTACCTGTGAAAGGTATGGAGGGCTGACTCCCCGGTGGCTCGGGTGGCCCAGGCCCCAGGGCAAGGAGGGGCTACAGCGAGAAGTGGAGCAGGTGGAACCAGGAGGGGCTGGTCCAGGCGAGGCCCCTGAGCCCCTGTGTCCCAGGGTCCACGTGGTTCTAACCTGGCATCTCCTGCCCCCAGGACTTTGGACAGTAAATAGAAGCGGAAACGGGGTTGGAACTCAGGCAAAGCGTGGCGGGGGCGTGGGGACATGACTGTCTCTGTTCTTCCCAGAGAAAGGGGTCTCCTGGCCTCTCCCCCTTCACCCCCACACGCCGGCCACCTCGCTCCTCACCGCACAGTTCGGAGGGGTCCAGGCCAAGAGGGACTGGGGGGCAGTTCACAGGGTCCCCTCTGCCCCTCCCCCCTTTCCCTCCCTGCTCCCGGATTTCCCAGAATTGCTGGTGTCTCCAAATATCCCTGGCAGGGATCAGAGGGGCCGGTTCTCTGCTCTTGCCCAACGTGCGCGGGCTCAGCAGCCAGGCTCCCCGGCTCGGGGCTGGGGGGCATCGCTGTCCGGGGAATAAAGCCCCTCCAGGACCAGAGGCACAGGGGGCGGAGGCAGGAGGCAGCCCTCCCTGGGCAGAGGGATCCGACCTCACCAAGCCCCTTGCGTGGCCCGGGCAACATGAACCTTCTGACCCCCGCCAAATGGGCCGCCGGCCAAGGGCAGAGTTTCTCTTCTTCCACTAAGCCTTCGTGCTGAAAAGGGAAGGAGAGGCCTGAGTGTTCGGGCAGCAACTTTCTGACACACACAGTATCCCTCTGTGAGGGACACACACACGCACACATTTGTGTGTTTTACTTTCTTCTGAATTCCTGGCACCCAGCACATAGTAGATGTTCAACTGGTACTTACTGAATGAGTAAGTGAAGGAATGGATTCTCGCATTATTGACATGAAAGTCTCCTCGAACAATGTAACCTTGCTCCTTGCGTCCTAGTTCGTGACTAACTGAGGCGAGTTTCCCAAACCACTAGTGGGCCACTAATCAAAGTCTGGAAAACACCGCTGGGAGGCGCGAGTCTTGGCGGGGATGTGGTTTTAGTTCTAAGATTTGGGTAAGAGCTTACCAAGCGGATTACCTACTGCAGGCCAAGGTTGACTGACTGCCATCTGGGGATGGGGCCGGGCGGTGGGGAGGGGTTCTTGCTGGCCACGCACCTCAACGGAACTGATTCCAAGTTTTGGGGCTCAACCCCCTTACCCCCTCCTGGGGAGAGAGTGCAGGGAACACGAGAGACATGCTCTGCCTCCTTCTCTTTCTCCCTGTTTGAAAGTCAGCATCTTTCTTTTTTTTTTTTTTTTTAAAGATTTTATTTATTCATTTGAGACACAGAGATACAGAGAGAGAGAGAGAAAGCATGAGCAGGGAGAGAGGCAGAGGGAGAGGGAGAAGCAGGCTCCTTGCTGAGCCAGGAGCCCGATGTGGGGCTCGATCCCAAGACTCTGGGATCATGACCTGAGCCGAAGGCAGACACTTAACCATCTGAGCCACCCAGGCGCCCCGAAAGTCAGCATCTTAATTTACCAAAAGTTGACGTACACTTTCTGAAGGTTTCATACGGTCTTGTCACTTTTTTGTTGGGTTTTTCTGATTTGGTTTATGGAATCCTGTTTTATTTGGTTGATTTTGGTTTGGGATTTTTATTTTTATTTTATTTTTTTGTACCTCAAGCACAGAAAATTAGGTTAGTTGTAGTCCTGAGTTCATGATACGCCATCTTCCCCAATCTCCCCTCCTACTTTCCCTCCTCCATCCGGTTCCCCCAAACCAATTCTACGCTCCACAGGCAGCCAAAATGGCGTGCTTGGTGTATGTGACGGTCTCCGAAGATGGTGGCCATCAGCTTCTTCCCTCGCTGTACATGCAAGTCACACCACCCACCCAGAGCTAGAGTCTGTTTCCCTCCCCTTGAATCTGAGCGAACTTCGCAACTTGCCATGGCCAGTAGAAAGTGCTAGAAGGGACATTCTGCCAGTTCTGGGCTCAGCCTTCAGAGACCTGGAAGGTTCAGTTTTCAGGGTTGGACACAAACCACCACGCTTTAAGGAAGTCCAGCTATCCTGCTAGAGAGAGAGAGGCCTGGCCTGGGCTGGGGGTGGGGAAGTAAGACACGATATGGAGATTGAGAGACAGAGAGAGGCCACACAGAGGAGTGCTGAGGCCCGAGGATGCGTGAACAAAGCCTCCTGGCCTCTCCCTGCCCAAATTTCTGGCCCTAGAGAATCTTAAGAAATAATGAGTAGGGGGCGCCTGGGTGGCTCAGTCGGTTAAG